ATCATTGTGACCGATAATTTTAATTTGAAATTAGTTTAAGTTAGATGCGCACAGAGAATGTGTAATTATAAATGTTAATTTTTATGATTTTTATTTATTCATTTATAATTTATTTATTTATTTCTATAAAAAAATATATACCCTCATCTTAGGGATAGGGATTGTTTTGTTGTTGTTTTTCAGAAGGCTTAATGAAAATGAGTGAAGGAATGAATATTCATATCAGCATCAGATTCTTGCTCTTCCTAAATGTAGACCTAAGATATTTCTAACCTGAGGTAAACAAAAACGGACAATCGCACAAATAGGGAGCATGAAGAGGAGGAGGAAGGTGAGATGAAGAAAGAGGAGGTGGTGGAGCATCAGCTCCATTGAGTGGAGACATCAGTGCAGGTGTCTTCGTTTTTCTATCCACGATAGCTCGGACACAAGATCCAGCTGCCAGTGTTTCAAGACACGGTTGAAATAATCATTTTTTTCAATTTGCACCGAAATTCGGGGAGCAGGAAGCGGTGCAGGGGAGGATGGGAGCCTGGATGTGAGCCACCCCAGCTGGGTGAGGACGAGACTCGATGCGTGGGAGCTGAGCCGTGAAATTTTCGCTGCCATTGACTGAGGCTGACGATAAAAAAAATGGAAGGTATGAGATGGAAAAACCGAGTGCATCCAGAGGCAGTCGCTCACAGCAGCGATCACCTTCTGCTGTGACGCATTTGCCTTGTTTCTGTGGAGTCCGGTGGTCGGAGCTGAAAGGATGCTACAGATGTGCTGTAATTCCAGGCTTCACGCTGCAGATGTGGGCTGCTGGGAGAAGGGAAAGGGCCTGTTGATTACAGCTGAGAATAAACACGATGAGCGCGCTGTCAGTCGGCACCGATGCTGAGGGATCTGCTGGACCGGTCTGCTCTGCTGGATCTCCACGCTTCATTTCGAAGATTGCAGTGAGATGTTGTAATAACATTGCCATTACGCTGCTGCAGATTGTGATGATGAGGAAGATGCTGGTGGTGGCACCACTCATCTGACCTTGTCTCTTGATCTGTTGGACGTGACTGGACCCCGGCTCTGGTGCTGCAAGAACAATGCAGAGCACTCAGGCACCAGGTATGGGCACAAATTTTACCGATGGTTTACCCTGGGAGTCAGGATTGGCCAACTTAACATGGTCCTCCACAGCCAGCTGTGTGGTCAAGATGGTGCTTATATCCATCATTGTGTGTGTGTCTCTATTTGGGAACGTGGTGGTTTTGCTGGTGTTCCAGAGGAAACCTCAGTTACTTCACGTGGCCAACCGCTTTGTCCTCAACCTCCTCTTAGCAGATTTACTACAGACCATACTCGTCATGCCCTTCGCCATGGCAGCCACCGTGCCTAGTGTGTGGCCCCTGGATGTCCGATTATGCCAGGCCCTGGTGGTACTCATGCACCTTTTTGCTTTCACGGGGGTCAACACCATTATTGTGGTCTCCATTGACCGGTACCTGGCCATTATCCATCCTCTGTCATATCCCACCCGTATGACCCCTCACCTGGGGACCAACCTCATCATCTGCACTTGGGTGCTCAGCTTTCTACAGAGCACGCCTCCTCTTTACGGCTGGGGGGCCATCGTTTTCGACCGGCACCATAACATGTGTTCAGTGGTGTGGTCCTTCAGCTTGTCCTACTCTGTTGTGGTGTCCAGCTTCTCTTTTTGGTTGCCTGTTCTCATAATGCTCGGTTGTTACTGGATGGTGTTCAGAGCTGCCCGGAGGCAAAACGCTCTGGTTCATCCAATACAGTCTCAGTCCTACTCTCAGCCCTCCCCACAGGACTTCCAGGGACAGAGCAGTCCACACCGGCAGCCTCATGGTCCGACAGCAGGTTCACCTGGTGGTCAGTACTCAACCAGAGGATACCCTGTGCGAGTCAGACACAGACGCTTTCACTACCACTGCAAGGCGGCTCGTGTGGTCTTCGTGATTATGGCCTCGTACGTACTGAGCATGGGACCCTACAGTATATTAAATACAATATCAATGAGCCCCAGAGCGTCCATACCTTCCTGGCTGTCCTCTGTGGCTCTCGTGCTCTTCTTCTTACAGTGTTGCCTACACCCTTACATTTATGGATACATGCACCGAAGCGTGAGAAAAGAGTTCCTGGCTTTGCTGTGTGGACTGTTCTGCAAACAGAGCCGTCCCCGCCAGAGCTCGGCTGTTGAGAGCTGCTTCACCACCACAGAGGGGCGTTCAGCTGCCCACCATCACCTGCCCAGCTTGGCTGCTCGAGTACTGCCTCTGCGGACATGGGAAGAGTGCACTACATCTTCTTCCCCCACTTTTGAACGCAAGTCGAGGGACAGTCGGAAAGACACCACCTCTACCAGCATCAGCTCAGAGAGAGAACTCACAGTCAACAGTAAACACAGCTCATGAGCCCGCTGTAGTATTAATCCTACAGACAGATGTTTGACAATGATGAATGGCTCGAATGTATGTCTGGTGAACGTTCCTCTTGTTCTTAGATATGTTGTTGTTTATAATAGAGACAGGTCAAAAAAAAACGTAGTTATTTTTTTCATAAGCGAAAATTAACAAAAATATATGTTTTGTTTAGTCTACAAACTCACTCAGTCAATACTGATTTAGAGTGGTTATTTGCAAGTGGCTCTAATGCAGAGGGGCATTATTTAGTGACTTTTGTTTTTAAAAAATATATTTTAATCTTGAACCAAAATGTGCTTTGTTTAGATAAAAAATTAGGTTGAATTAAGCAGAGCCCTTTTAATTCCAGACCATGACTTATCAGTCTTAATTAACTGAATGTTAGTTAATTGTATGATGTTTTTTGGTGATATTATTTAAATGTAAAATGACTCACCGGACGAGACAAAGCGAGCCGTTTGATCGTTTACATCAGTAGTAGGCTCTCCTCAAGGTGCCTGCCATGTTGGATCATCGTATTTGGGTTTTAACAAGAACTGAAGGTCGCTGTTGGTTCTCCTACAGTTTCAGACAGGAATGGAGAGATGACGTATATTAAACCAAAATGTGTAACTTTACCACAAGATGTTGCACAGTGTACCTCTGACATGTACATTTATCTCTTTGTCCTTTTGAATCAATTTGTGTGTGGTACCGGTTCAAAGTGTTACCTTCAGCAAACTCAGGATAATCCACTGGGGGAAGAAATTTAGTGCCAACCTTGAGTTTTGTTCAGCAAGTGAACTTATGTATGTGAATGCCATTGTCCCTGTGATGTCAGTCAGTGTTAACAGTCCTTTACTGTGTTAAGCACTTTTTGAGTAAATGGGTAGAGTAGACCCATTTGTGGCGGTTACCTAAAGAGACACAGGGTTAATTTTGTGATAAGGAGACAACACTAATGATATTATGTGGACTCTGGTAGCTTTTTCCTTGGTGACAACATCCGCCTGAGTGCAGTGTTTTATGTTGTAAAATTACAGGGTAGGCTGTGTTATGCTGTTTTTTTGACCGACTGGACAGAGTTTTCATGTTCAGTTGAGCACTTGTAAATTTGTAGAGATACAATATTGTAGTAGAAGAAGCGGACTGTTTAGGCCACGAAAAAAAAATAAGACAGAAAAAACACTATGACCTTTGTGACTCTGTGACATGACCTACCTAGAAAAAGACAACACAGTAGGTTAATCAGGTAGGTGTCATAGTTGCATGAGAAAATGTGCATAAGTGTTTCCAGTCAAGTGTTTTCAGTTATGTTTTATACATCAATCATATTAAAAGAAAAAGTGCATTATTGTTATTATTATTATCACTACCATATCTATTGTTGTTTCATTCAATGGCATCAATTTAGGTGATTTTTCAGCAGTTCACCTTAGTGTCAGTATCACAATATAAAAAGTGACTCGCTACAGAACAACACGGTACATTGGACAGTTCATAAATTATCGTCAGACAAAGGTGTGCTGAATGCTTTAAAACTGTGATGTCCAACATGCGTCAGTATTATTTATAGTTTCATACTATAACATAAGACTTTCTTGTTTAATAAAAGTCCATTATGTTGTACAAGTCTTTTTTATATTGAAATGTCTGTGCCTAACTACGGTTCCTTAAACAGAACCTTTATATCGTTCTACTGTAATGAGTGTCTTTAAAACTACCAATAATATCCCTGTGGTCAACTGAAGGCAAAGTTCTGTTAAACAAAAATATGTTTTAAAGCAGGAGTACTTTCTTGAGTGTTTTATTCATGATCACTTCAAAATGAAAAGTTAATTTGACTGAGCAGACAAAGTCTTTTCCTATGAAGTACTGTAGTGTCAGGGCTAGGGAATGTTATACTTCTCTCTTTAGTTTGAGTGGGATAACACAATGCAATGTTTGGCACAAAACTAGCTAAATGTTTCCTCTGAAACTTTCTACTCCAAACATTTGAATAAAACAGCTAGAGCACTTAAGCTTAAAGGCAACACTGACATTCAGTTTGCTGCACAAGTTAATAGTAAGTTGTCTCAGATATGAAGACTGCACAAGTTAAAGGCTAAAGTCAGCTAACTGTTTCAGTTAAAAACAAGATGGACACCTCTGAACAAGGCCTGTTTCTGGAGTACTTTTATCAACAAATTATGTGTATGGGTTTTACAATGACAAAGACAAAGCATGTACGATGACTTCAGTGCCCAAAGACAAGAGGAAATGCTAAGAAATAGTTAAATAAACAAATGTACATTTAAAAAAGACAAGTAGCTTTTACCTACAGTTGGTATAAGGGGTAGCCATCTTGGTTTTGAACACCAGGTCACTTCCTGACAACAGCTTATTTTACCACACCTTTGGCATTTCGACCTCTGATACCTTGAGAATAAGAAAGAAAAAAAATGATTGATGTGTCCTTTAGAAGTAAACAATTCTTATAAAAACGTTTATATAGTTTTGCAGCCAGTTTCTGTTGGCCAGGTGTGGTATTGCAGCCAAAGCAGGAATTTGGGAGTTGTTAATTTAGTAATATAGTAATATATAGTAGTACTGAAACATACTCATTGTTTACTACTACATACATTTTATTGGTAAGATTACATCATTAGTTTTATTTTTTCAGATTAATGAAAACCCTATAACACAATGTCTGGGTTTCACCCAAATGATATGAGCTTAGAAATAGTTTGGAAGTGAAAGTGAATTATTGTCATTGTGACAGTGTCATCTTGCCTATAACCCAAACCTTTGCCCATATCGGTATCGGTTGTTGACATCAGAATCAGAAATTTAGTGTTTGAACAATATCAGATATCAGCAAAAACATTCCTACCTTGATCATTTAGAATAAATTGAAAATGATTTTTTTCCCCTTACATAGATGATTTGTGATTTGTATGAATTTATATTACTAGTCTAAATGTATTCTTCTATCTTCATCACATCGTGCTGATTCACCTTCAGCCAACTTACCTTACTACTGAATCACACTGAATCCTCAGGGTCCAGATGGGAGAGATGGTTGATGTACATATTCTTATGTATGGAAATGAACATTCCAGTGATTTTAACTTAACTGCATTTATTTTGTAAAAATGTTATCACCTCGGGTGATGATTCCACACTGCTAGAAGCATAAAGGCAGCAGTGTTTATGTAGTAACAGTTCAGCAAACTGCTTATTTAAAACAAACTGGGTGTATCTTAGCAGATCAGGTGTGCTTCATAAGCAAATGGATGTCCCATAATTAACCAAGGTGAGTCACGCCAGAGACGCAAGGGTAATGCATGTCAGTGAAGTTTTTGTTTTGTTTTTTGAGGGGGGGCGAGGCACATAACTGTAGCATAGACTTTAATGATACAGATGTGCTTCAATTTTAGAGTAGCTTTTGATCCTAAGGTGTTGAAGCCAAATACCAGTGGGAATGTGAATGCCAGCAAGTCAAGATTTAAATATAATTTTGAACTACAATACAAGCTTATTATTTTCATTATTTATACCCCCCTCCCCCACATAACAATAAAGAAAAGAAAATTTCATAATGGTGATAACAAATATATAAGTACCATTATTCCCATTCACTTGCCCTGTACAATACACGTAAACAAACATTTCCCTCTTTACAATATAAGTAATGAATGAAATCTGGACATTCAGACGCAATATAAAAAGAAATCTAACATACAAAGCTACAATTCACCTTCTTAAGAAATTTCTGTTCTTTTCCAACCCAACAAAAAACTGAACACTATGAAACCAGATCATTGGATCCCAAACTAATTTTCAAGGCGCCACCCGGAACATTACTGGTCAACAGTGAAGACAAAAATCATAAAGAACTTCTTCAAGAAAGAAAGGGGAAAAGGTAGCAACAAGGTTTAGAGCACAAAAAGAGGACGGGTTCTGCTCTTCCGGTGTCTTCCATAAGTGAAGGTTTGGATTCAGGTCCATTCAGACCACTTCATCACATAAGCAGCAGTGCTGCAACAGCAAGGAGTCAGTCTTTGCCACAGTCCACTAATCCACCTTGACCACACTGTAGATCTTATTTACAAACCAGAAGCAGGCAAAGAAGCCAATTGTACCTGAAGATAGAGAAGAGGTAAAAAGTTAGTTTAAAAAAAGATAAAAGTACAAAAAACACAAACTGTTTGGAGCACATATTAAAAGAACCAAAATGTAACGTGCCATAGCATAGATGGTAGCACTAGCAGAAGAACCTGAACAACCAGTTACTGTCTGCGTACAACCACATTATTTACTCCACCTACAGGAACCGAAATTTAAGCTCCACTTAAATAAACATTTGAGCCTCAGCACTTTGTTCAAACATCACATCCCCTGGTGCACTAGGGAAGCTAACTATGTGATTATGTAGATTTAGTTTAATATTTTAAAGCCAATTTAATAATGTAATGTAATGAGTAATGTTTCAAATGTATAAAGCAATAGAAGGGTTATGTGGTGATTTTGAACACTTGAAAAAATACATCATTAGATCATTGGGTTATTTTTAAGTGACTATCTATCAACATCTCATGCCTATGATACTTATAGCTACAACCAACAAGCAGAATTTAATTTGCCTTCAAGACTGGTTAACACTATCAAATATGTCGTAGTGATATTAGATAATAGCAGACTGGTACAACACGCAGAACAGAGGGGTTGGTTGTTTGTAATCTAGTCCTGTACATGATCCTTCTAAATTACATAATCTGAGCGGACAGGGACCAGACTGAGAAGTGCTGTTGCCATGTCAACATATATTAGTCTGTGCCGTGTAACATGGAGACAAAAGAAAGAAGGATGCTTCATTCTTCATTGTGCTCTTGCGCAACCTTAGTCACACAGCCCAGAAACAGACAAATCTCAGTACGTGGTTGACAATCGTAGTCCTTAAATCTGGATTAATTATTCTCCATGGCAACCAGTTAATATAGCGGCAGTATCTCTTTTGATCAGAATTAAATAAAATAGAGAAATAAACCTTGGACCGTCAAACTGGAATGGTCAGTAAAGCTGCTACAAAAATAAAAGCTAAAAAATACATGTTTGAATCGAACACACATCCCCCTGGTTGACGTGCCCTACAAACTGGTCCAGAGACATCTTACTTCCAAGAGCCTAACTGATAATAATTTCCCTGACATTTGATATAATGGAATCTGGACAGTGAAAAGCTGTTGTTGACCAAGTTCTGTTGGTGATATTACACCAAGTAAATACATGTATTTGTTCAGCAAACAAGTTCGCTTTAACAATACAAGTAAATTGATCCGGGTACACATCCTGAAGTAGATTTCCAAAAGAAGACATGACTTGTGCTTCCAACAGGTCTGGTGGACATTTAAAACAGTTTCTCATCAGTACCATTCACATAACAACACACTTCTTTAATGAGTCATAAAATGCAGGTTGTGACCGTGCTGCTCTCACCTGTGAAGAGGAAGAAAATGAGGACCATAATCATGGTGTATCCAAAGTAAAGGATGGTGCTGGCTAGTCCAATTATTTGCAGTTTAGAGTAAAAGTAATGCACAGCGTAGATGAAGAGATAAACTGCAGTGAAGCCGCTGGTGAGGAAGGAGCGCCACCACCAGTGGTAATCCTGGACACAGGACAGGGAAAAGTGAGACAAGTCATTAATTAAACCAACTCAGTCTCACTGTGAATACATTCATTCTAGTTTTCCTTTCTATGACATGCTCTGCTGCACAGGGCCATACTGTCATATGAATTTTGACTGTGCTTGTACAATTCAGGAAAAAAATCCCTTCAATGAAACAAAAAGTGAATCATTAAAAAATAAGCTTACATATATAAAACAATTCATAAAATGGTAGTTTAAAGTAAAATTTTAAAAACTTAAAAAAATGAAGCCCTTGTTAGTGCGATGTGCTCCGTTTAGAGGTTTTGTAGAATTCCTTTATGGAATTCTTTCACACCAGATTACAACCTGCTTAGTTGCCTTATGTAACGATTGAAATCAAGGTTCAATCAAATGTTCGTTCAAGGCTTCAATAATTCTAGCTGGTTTCTAATCAAATTTGGTAAAAAACATTTATGTTTGCTCTGATTTTCAAATTGTTCATGTTTTAGGATTTAAAAAAAATAAAATAAAATAAAAAGAAATGAAGTTCAACACTTGACAACGATGGATTCACAAAACACCTGAGAGACTGGGTTTTTGACACTGAGGGAAGCATCAGCTAAAACAAATAAGTTATATAAGTATCATTCCATCCATGTAAAATTACCACTATAATCCTAAAGTCAATTCTCTAAATATTGGTGTACCTCAGCACACAGGTGGAAGTAGCAGAGAAGAACTGTGGCCTCAGAGCAGGTGATGAGAAGAATGATGAAGACCAGGAACAGGAAGCCAAACATGTAGTACATTTGATGAGACCTAGAAAACATTGGTCATTCAAAGTTACTGAGTGACGTTAAAAGGGAGTTGTGCTCTACAGGGAGGATCACTTCATTACAAAGAACTTCAAGTAAGGAAAATCAAGTAAGGCCACATTCCTTTCTTCTTGCTTTTCTTACCAAATGCTGTTGAGGATAAAGAACAATTGAATGAAGATGCAGCCAAAGGGCAGAATACCGCCCATTACAATCCCGGGGATGGGTTTTGTGAAGAAGGACTGTTCTGGAATCTGACGTGGAATCTGGTTTGTTCGCACAGGTTGCTCAATAGCCTGAACGAGAAGAGATTTGAGCTCATACCAATCATAATCTGCAATCATTCACTTTGAAGTAAGACTACAAAGCCTAACTCACAGGTTTCTTGAATCCAAAGTAGGCACCGATGAAGGTGAGCGGCACAGAGATTCCAAACCACAGGGCCAAAATAGCCACCAAAGTGCCAAAGGGCATCGCTGCTGAAGAACCCTCCACCCAAAGGATCAGGTTCATCAGGAAGAAGTCTGCAAACACAATGCTACGAAGGAGAAAGGGACAAAAGGACAATGATGGGGAGAAAATGTTGAGCTTGTGTTGCAATATCTCACAACAGCATTCAAAAGGCTATGTAGAAAAAACCGACAAGAAGACAATAGTCGTGAACATACCCTGGACACAGCAGTGCCGTGAGCAGAACGTTGGTCTTCCACTTTTCACCTCCGAAAGCTGAGAAGGAGCAAACGACCAGATAAATGACAACGCTCCTACACATCAACTAAGGTCATCTGTGTCAGCAGTTTAGTATAAATTAAACTTCATCATAATGTTTGCAGCTGACTCTTACTCTTGTAAAGGCGCGCAGACACATAGCCTGCAGGAGTTCCCAGCAGCACCCACAGAACTACCGCACAGGTCATGAGAGCTCCTCTGTTGGCTGGAGACAGGAAACCCAGACAGGCCAAAACTACAGAAAAACAGTGTGTTAATCAATTACTTTTTTTTTTCTTAGGTTTGACAAATCACAAACCAATTACTGGTTGAAGGTATTAAATGACCAACAGTATAAAAATTGGCTGCATGTTGCTTTGGTTTCTTTAATATGCATTTCAGAATAAACTAACGTACAAAACTACATAAAATACTGGTTAGGTTCAAGAGGCCTTTCTATGAACTTTCTGAGTCTATAACAATTATAGAAAATCCTGCAAATGTTTTATTTAACTGTTGCCGTGTCAGCGAGAAGAAATAAAAACATTAAAAAAAGTACTTACAGAGTGTAGTAAAAGTCATGATGAAGATCTGGGTGCCCTGTCCAAGAAACACGGACAATAGCATGCCCTTCCTTGGAGGACGGAAAACATCACCATGCACCTGCTTCCACCCTGACTCTTCTTGTGCATCCTCCTGAGGGAGACAGTCAGCACCACAGGTAGACATGGTCATGGTGCGTATTAAAAGGTCAGGTTTTACCAATCACCAAAGCAGTGACATCAAACTAATCAAATAGTATGTGCTAGTGAAGGAAAATGGAAAAGTGGTAGAAAGATCCAAGAATAGATATTTCCTGGAGTGCAAGACATCCTACTCCACACCACATTTTATATCATGATGTGTCTATTTAATGCAATCATACACCCAGACACCTGATTAAATAAGCACAAAAGATGTGTGGTTTAAATTGTATTTTATCAATCTTACATAGGGAAGGGAGGATTTTTCCTTGGAGGTTGGAAGCTTTATCAAGTCTGCCTGTAAAATGTAACAAAATATATGTACAATTCTAAATGCTGTGCACCTTGTGCAAACTGGTATTTACTATAAAGTACACTTAAAATCAACTAGACACATTCACCTGTTGGCTTTTAATTGATGAAATCACTGTTTTTGAATTTTATCAAAACTGATTTATTGTCTGCTGTGGAAACTCAGGCAGGATATTTTCCCCAGCCATTCGCAAACTGGAACTTGAACAAGTCTATTTGCATTCTGTGAACACCTCATCTTACAATACACAAATGAGACAAAACACCCACCTCTAAACCTACACGTATGACCTGTTGTTAAACACATCTTCAGAAGTCTAAACAGGTGTGTTAATATTCCCCAACCATATGTATAAATGTGTATATAAATGATTACCTGGTCCACCTGGTTGTACCTGGCTATATCCTTGTGAAGGGTTCTTAGCATAATCATAGCAACCATGCCAGACAGGAAGAGGACAATGACCAGAGAGTTCATGATACTAGAAGAAAGAAAAGATTAATCTAAGCATTTACAAACAAACAAAATGACATCAAATGACTCCTGTGGTTTATAATGTGACAGAAGTCTTCAAACCTGAACCACTGGATATTGGTGTGAGGCATTGACACAAGGATGTAGTCCCACCTAGAGGCCCACTTGATAGAATTGTTCTCCTGTTAAACAAAAAAAGTGACAATTTTTTTAATTCTTTATTTAAAAAATCTATCTGAGAGATTTTTGGACTATGGTTAAATGATTAACATTAACAGATTAACATAAAAAAATGATGCCAACATAGGCTTAAGAAGATTTACCTCAAATGTGATAGAGTAGGAATAGGTGATGGAAACCGCATCTCTGAAATCCACTGGGACCTTCATAGGCTCAGTTTCTTCACAGGTGGGTTTGGTGGGATCGGTATGTTTGATGCTGTTGTAACAATACATAAAAACACCCAAGTTGAATTAATAAGGACGATGGGGATTGTTTTCTTCCATTGTTTTTTAAATATGTAACCTTTTTGGTTCCAGAGTGGCAGCAACAAGCCGAGCCCCTTTCCATCCTTCAGACTGACCACTGTGGTAGGTGATCCTTATGTCAACATGGTTGAAGACGTAGAAAGTATTCTTTACGTTGAACTCAGCCTGAAAGACAATTTTGAATATCATTGTAGATTCCCTTTTCTGTGCATTTGCAGAAAAGTCTCAAGAAAAATCAAATATAAAGACAGAACTTTTTTGACTGACATTAATGACACAGGCGTCTTTGGGTCGGCCGTCTGCTGATACTAGGCAGCCAACGGGAAAACCTGGGTTGCAATACTTCTGACCATCTTCCACATCATAGCACCAGGTCACAGGCATGTTGTCAATGATCCTGCAAACGATAAACTATTTATTGCAAACAACTGGTAGCAATCAAACACTGTGACTTAATTGAAATCAACTTGTCCAGTGATTCATCCACTTACCAGTGGTGCTGGTAGTTCAACTGCATTCCAATTTTAAGAAATTCAAGTTTGGTGGTATCATCCTGATCACCAGTCTTGTAATTTTTGGTGCAGACCGTCTTGCACTTGACATCTTGTTTAAAGGTGAACTAAAAAGACGTTTGATAACTTTGGTTTAGAAAATTCTACCAAATTTGAAAAGTAGGTAGACTTTAAGTAGTCACTCACCTTGTAAGGTGAAGACTCAATGCGTTCGCCAAAAAGAACCTGACCAAGGTTCTCCGATGGCCTCATCTCTTTGTCATCTTTGCAAAAATCAAACCTTAAATAAAGTCACATGTTGCACGTTATGAGAAGGAAAACATTCAATGTGACGTCACGCAATTAAAACTTGTTAAGGTTAGAAATACTTACATTTGATACTCATATGGAAGTACTGACTCTACTGAGTCCAAACGGTTGACAAACAGCTCTACTGTTGACTGCAAAGATTGATAAAGAAAAGGTTTACATTTGACTCATGTCCACAGTCCGACCAGAGGTCTACCGTGACAACCGATTCTTTAATCATTCAACCGTGCTGTCCAGTTAATTTTAGGATTCTGTCAGTAAAAACATAGCAAAGGGAAACCACAGTCTACCAACGACAGTCGTTGGCAACACCAAAGTTTTACTACTACAAGGACCCATTAATATATAAGTACGTGTTCCCACCCAGACCCGTGGGCCTAGACAAGCATTGGTTCGTTTACAAGAGCTAAGAAAAATAAACATGTACATTTGCTTACAGTTTTGACTTCATAATGCATGGTTACTTCGGCTAATAATTAACTTTAAATTGCCTTAGTCCATCATACCTTACAATCGTCGCCCCCTTTGCCTTCTTCACAGAAACTCACAGGAGCTAAACCCGGAAGATAAAACGCCGAGCACAAAAAGACGTTTAGAAAAACTGAAATAACCAGCAAAACATCCATGTGTGACCGCGTCTTCATTTTAACAGCTCTTCGAATGTCTGGCTTGCGACAGGAATGAGAAAATGTCCGCCCGGTCTTTCCCTCTTCTTTTAGGGGAAAGGAAAAGCTGAGTTTCTGTAGTTAGCTCGATGTGTCTTCCTGGGAAGTACAAACTGAGCTGACCTGCCACGGCTGATGACGTCCAGCTCTGTCTCCGCCACAAGATCAATCCCGGAAGTTCAAAGCATAACCTTCAAAAGAAAACAAACACGGGGTAAGCTTTTTACATCTATGTAATGTGATTCGCTCACACCATTTATCTTTTCTAAATTCGTTTCGACTCTGTGTCTATGTAAGGACAAAGTAGTTATTAAATACCAAATTTGTATATTACAGCTAATTGACAATTGCATACAGTGAGGGTGTTTTATTTTGTAGTTATGTAATCGGATATTACGTTTAAGTTTTCTGACAGCATCTTTAGTCGGGCATTACTGACGTTGTTGTACTTACATGATACCGCAACAAGTTAGGAAAATTTAATATTTTTATAAAACTGTATGAGATGCTCAGTGAACTACCGTGGTAGTGGAGACACAAGATGAACTAAAGCAAAGGAGGCGTATAAGTATGGATGATATACTGTATTTTGGTGAAATGTGAAACCAAGCAAGCAAGAAAATCCGGAAAGGGCAGTTGGGATGGTTTGTATAGTAAAGGCCGAGCTGGAAAAACAACAAAACAATCGCTCAAAAATAATACAACAGAGTTCAGTGAACCCTTTTTTATGTTCAGAGCAAAATCCCTTGTGCATGTAGAATGACATTTTTCATTGATCCTTTGATGTCATATAATAAAGGATAAGAAAAAACGTAATACTGTCTAAATACTGTAACGTGAATGTGTTGATAAGATTTGTCCTCTACCAAGCAGTAGAAGATAACAGTGCAAATAACCACATTCGTTGTGCCACAGCAAGAACAAAGTATACTTTAAAGGTTGTCAAACATTTCCCTTTTTCTGTCTGAAATATACTGTTTATACACGTGCATAAGAGTGTTTAAAGTACTCCTCAAGTTCCTTTAAGCGAGAATGTCAATTTTATTTTACTTTTGTAAATTATGTAGAGAATTAGAAGGTGTGGTTCTGTTATTAGTATAATTCACAACACAGAGCAACATGATAAAAACCACATCTCATTTTAAGCTAAAATGATTTGCTTTTAGTGTTCCATATGGCTGGTGTATCTAAACAAGCTAGTTTGTTTAAGATTAAAAAACTGCATTTTTCATCACTGCAAAATATATTTAATTAACTTATGTTATGATGACTATGAACAGCACCAAAAGCAATAACTACCAACATTGCACTCAAATTGCTGAAAATGTCTTATTTACTTTTTTCTTTCATGGGGCAATGATTGTCCCACAGTTTGTGAGAGTTTGACATAAAAAGGATTGCAGTAAACTATGAAGTCATATATTTATTTATTTTTTTGGCAAATGTATCTAACTGCTCAAATTTACAATGAAAGTTTTGAAACTGTGAAGACTTGGTGAATGCTGTTAGAGTAAGTGCAGTGTCACTGTGTTTGTGACACCAAG